CACCACGGCCCCGGTCCCCACAGTCACGGCCGCGCTGGCCCCGTGCGAACGCTGGCGGAGGGAGAGCCCGGTGCTCCGACGCTGGGCCACGATGCTCTCTCTACCAGACACACTCGCGGGACCGTGCCTTCTTAATGGGAAAGATTTTAGGTGTTCTGTGCCTCGGGTGTTACGCACATTCCGGAGACAGCAGAAAAGGGGATTTCAGCCGGCAAAGCTGGGAACTGAAGCCCCGTGACCGCCGCTGCTGGAGACGGAAGCGGTGTCCTGGGGGCGCACATGGAGGGGCCATGGCGCCCGCCTGCCTGAGGCGGCACCGGCCTGGGAGGGTCAGGGTGCGGGCCAGAGCAGGGACCCGAGTGTGGGCACTCCAGACAGCACGGCTGGAGTCCGAGTCCGTGGTCCTGGTGATGGTCACTTCTCATGCCAGTTTAAACTTGAGGTTACTGGTATTTGTCGTTTAAAATATCAGGCACAATACGAATGAATTTGTACGTACTTTTAGTCAAATTAATAACAGAAAAATATCATCTTTGTTTTTTATGAAAATTAAAGTGAAAGTTTTTTTTTTTTTTACAGGAATAGATACTACTTTATTTAATATATTTAGTTTCCTAGGTGTATACTTTTCCTTGAAGGAAATGGAATCACCTAGAATTACAGGCGAATGCTGGACTGGTGCAAATTCTAGAAATGAAGTACACCAAATCATTGTTTAAACAAAAACCCCGTTCAGCTCAAAAAATCTCCCTCCCCTTTTCAATAAGAAAGAGGCAAAAAAGCTCCTCATCAGACAGCCAGGTTCCGCTTGAAGCTCCCGTGTCCCGGGGTCCTGTTTTCACGGTGCTTTCTGCCCGCGGGCGTTACGTTTTCAATCTGACATACTCAGCAGTGAAATTTGATCCTAGAGTAACATCGATGATGGCGATTCTCCAGTTTTCTGTATGGTACACACTCGAGTTTTCGTCAACAAGAACTAAAGTAAAATAAGGGTCCTGCTTATTAACCTTTGGTTTTTCAGAAAATTGAACCTTCTAGCGCTCTCTTCCCCACGTCTCATAATAATACAGATTTTAGTTGTCCCAGACTTTGGAGTAATCATAAATGGATTCAAGCATGTGGTCCCTTTTCAAACATGCTTTATTGAAAGCTGTCATCCAAAATAAGAGTTCTCTGTGTTTTGCCCTGTTGGTTTCAGTCACTATATTTATGAATGAAGGAAGAATTAGGAAGGCAGCAGTCTTGAAGGAGAGGAGCACCCTAGGGGGTGGACGTGGCCGTAGTCTTGAAGTCCCTTGTACGTGTGTGGTGGTCTCTGGTTGGTACCCAAACGTCTGCTTCACTTCCAGGCTATCAAAATAACACTTCCAGTGCTCTCTATCTTTAGTACCATCTTTATTCTTTTGTATAGAGTATGAATCATTTTCTTTTACACATTCTCATTTTCTGAGGTTGGCACCTTTCGAAGTGTTTATCTTCCTTCCCCAGTAGCTGACAGCCCTGGGAAGCATGACGGAGCCCATGAGGTGCAGCTCTCGTGTGTGCTCTCCCCGCTTCAGACACTGGGCGCCCTCAAGTCGAGTGCGGGTCCTGAATGCGGGTGAGGCGGGAGGGGTGAGCGCAAATGAGACGGCAGAGGAGCCACGCGGGAGCTCGCGCTGGCTGGGAAGGGCCTCTCTGCAGGTGCAGCATGAGCTTGCTATGCAGCAGTGCTGTCCCTGCGTTGCCATTGCCTCCCATTTCATGAGAGACTGGGAGTCTGGAGTTTGGGGTGAAATTCTCTATTTTAAAACGGTGGTGGTTTATTCAAATGGTTTTAAAAATACTCTGTGATCCTAGCAAAAAATCCTGTAACAGGTAACTAGTTTGTAACCTACGTTGGTGGTTAATTAGGACCTAACTTACAATGGCACTTGTTTAGACTGTTCTGCAGGTTGGATGTAAATGGTTAAATTCAGATCGATTTCAACCTATAAACCAGTGTTAGGAGTCTTCACCTGGAAAATTCGTGTTATAGATTCCTTTCTGCTTACTGTTCAGATATCTTGTAGGGTTAATGTAATACATGCATGTGTGTGTGAACACATACCCATATTAACTGAGAAGGAACTGTGGTGATTATATGTTTAAAACCTTAAATAAGAATATATTGATCTATCTTTTTACATCGCACTTGCAGAATTTTTCCCATGGACTCAAAGCCTTCACTGTTAAACCCCACTGGATCTATACTGGTTTCATCCCCAATAAAACCAAATCCACTGGACCTGCCCCAGCTTCAGCACCGAGCTGCTGTTATCCCGCCGATGGTAAGTTTTCAACATGAGTTGAAAAGTGAAGTTGGAAAAAAAAAAACCCTTTGGAGACATTTCTTCTCTTCTTTAATCAGTACTTGATTTTTTTAAAAAAAAACTGTAAAAATCACATAGCATGAAACTTCCGTCTTAACTCTTTTTTAAGGGTATAGTTCAGGAGCATCAAGTACATTCACATTTTTGTGAAACAGGTCTCCAGAACTTTTTTATCTTGCAAAACTGAAACTCTGTGCCCATTAAAGCAACACTCTGCTTTCCCCTTCCCTCAGCCCCTGGTAGCTGCCAGTCCCCTTTCTGTTTTATGAACTTGGCTGCTTATACAAGGGGACTCAGACAGTGTTTGTCTTTTTGTGACTGGTCTCTTTCACTCAGTGTCCTCAAGATGCATCCGTGTTGTAACACAGTGTCAGGTTCTCCTTCCGCTTTAAGGCTGACTGATACCCCGTTGTATGTTTAGACCATGTTTTGTTTATCCATTCATCTGTTTCAGATGGATTCATTGTGGTGTTTGACATAGTCATTTCCAGTTAGGCAAAAAAGAAAGAAATACAATGTTCTGGCCGTTAGTATTAGTAAGTTTTGTTTTGGTGGTGTTCTGCTATAAGAACAATGGTAGAATAAATGTTTAACTAACTTTTGAATATTACGAATAAATTATGGAGCTTATGATTGACTTTAGTATACAGTTCCAAACCTAGTTTTACTTACATTTTACCTTAATTACCTCTGAGTTTGACTCCCTTTGATTCTGAAAGCTGCTCTTGGGTGTTGCTCTTTTACTTGGTTATGTTCTAGCTCTTGCTTTATTTCACAGGATAAAAATTTGTTTTCCTGTCTCATATGATGATGTAAAAGTTAAGTGTGTGCTTGTGTTAAATATAAACATTTGTTCATTCATTGATTTATTCAAGTGGACATCTATTGAATGTCTGCCCAGTTCAAGATGACATTTTTAATGCTGTATGGAATATTTACACACTGTAATCTCTGGCTTCAGAAAACTTAGAGACTGGTCTTGCTTCTAAGACATAGAAAAAAATAGTAATAATAATTTAAAAGAACTAAAATGTGCTCCGTTAGGTTGAAAAGTGTACTATACTATGTTAATGAAAGCTTCTTTCTCAATGAGCCACTTAAAGAAGACACGTAGAAAATGACAGTTCATTTCGCTCTATAGCAAAGGAAGGATAAGCCACCTTACACGTAAGCCAAAACACAAAGGCAAGAAAATTATGTGTGTTTTGGATTCAGTGAAAGATCCTGCTTATAGTAGGAGAAAAAATTATGAAAGTCTTTAGAGAACAGGTTCTAAACACATCACATCTCTCCCCTTCCCAGGACTGTTTTGTATTCGTGAAGTAATGGTCTGTCTTAAGGGCTGTTTATTTAGTATGTGACAGAGCAGCCTGGGGTCTTTCCTTCATGAGTGGCGAGAGACAGAAAATAAACAGAGAAAACAAACATAATTGCAGTGAAGGAAAGGAGCAGCGTGCAGCAGGAAGGAAGACGGGGAGGGCTGCAGTATTTTATTGGATGGTTAGTGATGGCCTGTCTGCAGAGGTAACACTGACTTTCCATCCTGAAGGGAGCTGATTCGTCAGTGAGTTGGTCGTGGGGCCAGGAGGTGGATGGGTGCCCTTGACCGCCAGGTTTCTGGCTCACTGCTGTGTCAGGTGGAGGTCACTGAAAGAGAAGCGTCGAGTTTAGAAAAGGAAAAGTTGTTTCCAGTAGAAGTTTTGAGGTGCTTTGAGATATCCAAGTGGAATTGGGAAGGCAGTTTGTGAGCATGGAACTTGGAGGAAATAGAAATGTATGTGTTACTAACTTAATAGAGGACACGTGAATCCTCAGGAGTGGGCATGAGCCCCGGGGAGAGGACGTGGAGGAGGAGGAGGGGTGGGGCCCAGGCCGAGCCACGGGGATTCAGCATCGTAAGTTAACGGCGGATGGAAATACTTTAATGTCTGATTTTTATTTCTCTTACCACAACTTTCGGAATTTATGTTGTGTTCACTTCTGAGAGTAACTGTTTAGCATTTTAAGCCTTATGCTTGCAGATTACTTTGAAAAATGGCAGAATCACTTCAGCCCGTAATATTACAGGAATAAGCATTACTTGCAACAGAGGCTTTGGCACACTGAGGTTTTCTGTCTCCCGCAGGTTTCCTGCGCCCCGTGTAACATGCCCGTCGGGGCCCCCGTGAGTGGCTACGCGCTCTACCAGCGGCACATCAAAGCCGTGCACGAGTCCGCGCTCCTGGAGGAGCAGCGGCAGAGGCAGGAGCAGATGGATTTGGAGTGCAGGGGCCCTGCCAGTCCCTGCGGCACCTCCAAGAGTCCCGGCAGAGAGTGGGAAGGTGGGTAGAGCCGTCGCCACACAGAGCCTTTTTGATGGGAGGTGAAGCCATACCTGAAAAGTAGTGTCCTTAGTGCTTTGTGACTTGATATGTGGTGCTTGCCCCTAACAGATAAAATTCCTTTACGTTGACGTCAGTTAAACTATCAGGGAATGTCAGTATTAGCCATACTAAAGGGTGGCAGTGATGCTGGGCTTCTTGTTAATGTCAGTCTCCTGATGTTCATCTTCGTGCTGAGTGCCTGGATGACTGTGTCAGAACCATGCTTTACGCTGCATTCATCTGAGTTTCCAGAGTGAGAGCCATCCTGTCCTCCAAGCAGATCACCCATATAGCAGGGTGATGTCCTGAATCTCCGGTGTGATGGGAGACAGCTGTGTGTGGCGTGTAGCCAGGCAGACCCTGGCTTACCCCTCACCCCAGCACTGCCCAGTTGTGTGGCCGTGGGCAAGCCGCTCGACCTTCTGTGTGTCTAATCGCTCTATGTCCCTGCCTTGCTGGGATTACAGCCCGTAAGAAAGCGTGAGCATTCAGTGCTGTTCTGTGGCACGTGGCCCTGCATCCTCCCGAGCGCAGTGTAGTCCGTAACAGGCGTCAGCGGCGTGTGCGCAGTGTAACTGACTCCGTGAAGGTCCTGCCACCGCTGTTAAGTCACTGTTGGTATTCAGGTGGCAGAGGTGAGTTGTGCATGCTCTTTTTAGATGGTCCATGATACACCTGATTTTAAAAAAAGGTGAGGGGAGTGATATGTAGATTGTAGTAAATTCTTCTGGTGTGGGCAGAAAGCAGCACGTGTGCCCTGGCTGGTTGTTAACTTGCGGCCTCTGTGTGAGCTGCTTACAGTGTAAGAACATCGAAGTCTTCTGTGATTCTGGTTTCGTTTTTGTGATGATTCAGAAGACTCTTTGCAGTGCCTTATACAGATGAGTGAGAGCTGTCGGCTGCAGAGTGTGCTGTCTCAAGGGCTGTTTAGTGCAGAGCAGCAGCCGGCTCCTTGACTGGCTTGACTCCCGCCCCAGGCCCACCAGTGGTGAGTTCATCAGTTAGTGGCACCCGGAGTCTCTGTGGTGAACCAGAGTGATAATTCCCACCAAGGCTGGGTGTGTAATAGGTGCTAAATGAATGGTTCTGAAGGAAGGTTAAAGCCCCAGAGTTACCACTGGCTGTTTACTGCATTGCATCTAGAGCATCCTTAACCCCTAGCTCAGTCGTTGACACAGTGTGTGTGCGGCGAGCACATGCAGCAGGAACGGAATACGTCAGCGGCAGTGTAAATGGACTTAGTGCACGTGCTCGTCTTTTGAGCGTTCCAGTTATGAGAAAATCTGTCGTAATGCGAATGACAAATTACAGAATAATATAAAAGTCTGTTGATCTGTTCCTTACATAAATGATTTAGAATAAATTTTCTGAGGAGAATTAAAACAAAGAAAAACGGTATTTGCTGAACACATGCTAAAGCTTAACTTTATTCAGTTGGTAATATCTGGGCCATTCTAATATGTCTTTATTTTATAGATATTTTAGGACCTCAGTTTCTTTTCTTCATCTCCTTTACAAAATGGGTTGTATCTGGGAGCTGGAGAGACCAGAAGGATTTAAGGCTAGAGCCCTAAGTTCTGAGACTCCGGTCTGTGAACTGACTTCTCCGTGGTCAGTCACACTGAGTCGTGTGGTTTAGAGCGGAATGCTGCCCTGATTTTTAGTTTTAATGCAGTAGTCTTAAAACCAAACTAGTTACATATTTGATCAAAGTGACATCGAGGTGTTTGTTAATATGGCACCAGTTTGATTCAAGGTGACTCTCTACAGACTGGAATGGTTGATTACATTTTATCCTGAGGTGAAGTTTTGTTTTAGTTAATCTAGCTGGTATGTTCATCCAGTAATTCATTTAACAAGTACCTGAAGGCTCTTCTAAATTTACAGCTATGCTATAGTTCAGTTAAAGGATACTCTCCCAAGTGACATTTGTATGTTTGCAGTTAATTTACATGTAGACTGTTTACTTCAAGTATTTTCAGTGCAGTGTCGTAGAATAGTTTATGGAACGTCAAGGGTAGTGAGAATGAGGACTTACGTACGAACCATCGCCAGACTGGTGTAGTCCCCTTGGTTGGGGCCATGGTTTTGGCTTTTCCCTTCGTGGGCCCGTTTAGAAGGAGTGGCAGCATCTGACAGTACTCACCTTCCTGTGCTGGCCATGGACGAATAATTATTGTAGATGTGCCCCTTTTAAGTGGCTTTAAAGCCTTTCCATTTGTAGAAAAGCTTGGAAAAAACCTCAGAGAAAGATTGTTTTCATTTTCCAGTAACGTTTACACATGTTGACTTCTGCTTTAGTTGGAAGCCTTTTTTCTACAGTGAAGGAACTCAGAACTGAAATTCTAGCTGGTTTTAACAAAATCTATCCAGTCAGAGTAAGAGTTAACACTTCTGTGCAACTGAATCTAGTTTTTTGTTTGTTTCTTTATTTTTTCAGCCGACTACATGATGATTTAAATAGCTGTGTTTAGAACCTTCTAAATTTCTATCTTTTCTTTTCCTTTAACACTATTATCACAAAGTGTATTTTCTACATGATTATAAACTTACTGGACATGGTAAAACAATCAGACACTGAATATATATAATAGTAAACTTTTGTAAAATTCTCCAGGAAGAAAGAAATGATTTTCTTTTGAACTTGGTTTATGTGACAAATTTGCACAGCGCTAGGACACTCAATAATCTAATTCATTACATTACTCTGTCAAAGAAGGACGAGTAACCTGACCCTGACGGCTGCCCGAGGGGCATCTGAGTTCAGTGCTTTGGGGAGGCATCGTTGTGCTGTGGGTTAGAGCTCAGGGCCAGGATCTGCACTCCTTTGGAGGAGCCCCCATCCTTGGCTGGGCGGTTAGGTGTGATTCTTTGGAGCTTCAGTTTCCTCATCTGTGAAATGGTGTCAGCAATCTCACTGGTCGTGAGGGCTAAATGAGAAACTGCATAACGCACAGTGCTCTGCACGAGGCGCAGAGTCCTGGCAGCTGGCAGTACTGCCATCGATCCCGGATTTTACAAAAACCTTAGTAAGCTAAAGAACTTGGACGCCTTGTGCTGATGATGCTCTGTGTGAAACCAGTCACAAATCTTCCACTTAGCAGTGAAACACTAGGGTCCTTCTCTGTAGAGAGTCTTGAGGGTGCTCTCTGTTACTCGCTGCAGTGCCGTAAGGAACAGGAACCAAGAAAGAAGTTTAGCTGTTTGAAGAGAGAACACAAGTGGTTATTCACAGGGTAAGAGTATCCACCTCAGAAGCCTAGAAGAATCAGTTGGAACGTTTTTAGAGCTAAGAGGAAAGTCATTAAGTTTCCCAGAAAAATTTGATACACAGATATCCACATCTTTCTTTCTTGTGTATCTGCAGTAATCAGTATGTATAAATATATATACATTCCTGTATGTAATAAAAAGACGGTTTTCCTTGCAACAAAATATGAAATACCTATGGATAATTTTTATGAAATAATGAAAAATGACCTATATGAAAAAAATCTAGGTTCACCAGTTAGAAAACCCATTATAAACTGTCAAGTCTCCTATATTTGTAAATTTAATACACTATTCAATGAAAATCCCGGTGATACTTTGGAGAGGAAGTACTCAGAGTAATTTTAAATTCAGATTTATCTAGAATAAATGGATAAGACTAGATAAACAAAAGGAAAAAAAAAAGAATGGAGATTTGTTCTGGCAGTTGTTAAAATGCCACAAATTAAAGGTGGTTTGGGTTACAGATGATTTTTACTTTCTTCTTTGTGCTTTTATGATTTTCCAAAATTAACAATATGTCCGTTTCACTTTTTAAAAAGGAAAAAATTATACATTTATATGTAATTATATATATATGTATTTTTAAGTCTTAATACGGCTGCGTATCTGATAACGCCCTTTAGGTGCTTGAAGCTTGTTGTTTGCCGCTCCGTGTGGAGGGAGGCTGTGTGGAGTGATGGTCATTGGCGTTACTGTACAGTTCATGGTCCGTGAGCTTGTGTGGCTTTGTTTTTAAGTAGTTCAGTCTGCCTCCTTTGAAAGGCTTCTTCCATTTCCTGCTTACGCTTACTTCTCTGCATATTAAGCGGTGGGCTGCAACAGGCTAATTCTAGGAGCTGAAATGCTCAGAGGTCTGGCCTCTGACTCAGGCCAGGCTTGGATCCGTAGGATGGCTGGATAGTCCGGTGTTTGCCTGTTGTGATCTTTATTGCCTGTGAAAATGCTTGATTCTCTACTGAGAGGAAAGAGAAATTCTTTGTCCTTTGAAGGGAACAAGAGTGATTGAATTTTTGAGCGTTTTATGAGGTCCTAGTGATGGTGCTTACACAGAAGATTGAGGTTTTCAGGGTTTCCTAACCTCTCCGTGGGTGGATTCCCCCCAGGAAGTTAGACCTTGGTAGTAGGATCTGCCCCTGGATGGTGTGGGCTTGGTCCTTCTCACACTTACTATTTTAATTTGGGGTTCTTCCCTTATTTTGATGACTTTAACTTTCATAGGAAGATCAGTCGCCTATATGCCTCATGCTGAGGTCAAACGTGCCCTAGAGCAGGAAGCTCAGCTGTGCAGGCTCTCGCAGAGAGAAGGCAGTAGAGCCGCGCCCCCGCCCGCAGTGAGCGCAGCCCTCTCTAGTGCCCCGCCAGGTAAATATCGCGCCTCTGCGCTGCGGCTGCCGGCCTCCGCCCACAGCCCGAGGCCGGGGTGCTTCACGTCCAGGACGCGTCCTTGCTGCTTCCAGTTACTTTCTTGTCTCTCTGCATCCCATCCTCAGTTGTACTCAGTTGAGGGTCACGGGGCCACTGGGAAATCTGTGTTCATATGTGTATCCTGTGACATTGACTGCCTTTTCTTTTAAGAGTACGTGTACTTTGTAAAGACCTTGAGATCCAACCCCCGCCCCCAAAATGAAGTGTCTGTGAGAATCAGAATCAGTAAATGTCTTTCAAGTTATGCAAGATGCAAACAGGACATTTACTGGCTACGTCACATCTGTGTGTTCTCCAGAGTTGTAGGACCAGCTGTTCCTAAGAAACACCCTCTTTCTCACCTCCATTGTGAGGTCCAAAGAGTGATGGAGAGAGGAAAAAGTACCGAAGATGCCGTTTGCATACGCCAAGCGGACATAGTTTGAAATGAATGTGAGCTTGAGAGCTCTGGTTTGACAGGGAGTTGACTGTTTCAGCCTCACAAATGCCATTTGTGACCTGAATATGTGCAAATTTAATTCAAGTGAAAGAAATTTAAAGTAGAATGTTCGTCCTCGCCTCCATCTTGCACCTGCAGTATAATTTGTGGTTGAAAGATTCCAAGGTGGCTGAGAAAGGTGGTGTCGCAGCTGGGAAACCGGCGGCTTTACATTGTTTTTCCTTCCTCTTCAAAGCCCTGCAGCCGGCGCCGCATCAGGTGATGACCGGCCTCCCCGAAGGGGTCCGCCTCCCGACAGCGCGGCCCACCCGGCCACCGCCGCCTCTCATCCCTTCGTCCAAAACCACCGTGGCTTCAGAAAAGCCATCGTTCATCCTGGGAGGCTCCATCTCACAGGTAAAGGGCCTCTCTTCCCGGCGGACCTCCTGTTGGTTGTCGCTTCAGTAAAATGTCCCCTCGTTCTCACCCCAATCTGCCAGGGCCCTCGTTGGGAAACTCTGTTCACGAGGAGACAGTGATCTGAGAGTGCAGCCTCCAGGCTCCTGCAAGGGGCACACGGGGTCGCTGGGTCACTGCCGGCCTGGCTGCCAGCACCGCCTGCTCACCGTGGGGCCGGGCTGCGCCAGGAGACGGGGTGGGCTCTGGGACTAGAATCTTTGTTGGCTGACAGTTGTAAAGGCTCTAAACATCGAGTTGTGGGTGACTGGTGAGCTCTGCTGGGTTCTGACTTTGCCCCCCACCCCACCCCATTTCTCATAAGGTCTTGTAACAGTTCAGTCAGTTTTGACTGATCTGCAAACCAGTGACCACACTGTCAGGCCAGGGGACGCTTCTGTCCCCTCAGAAGGCTTGCTCATGGCCCTCCCCACCTGGAGCAGCCTTGTCCTGCCTTCGTTGTCCCGGCTGAGCCTTACCTTTTCCAGAACGTGGCAGCAGCAGAGTCACACAGTGTGCCCTCCCTGTGTCTGTCTGCAGCGACTCAGCTTCCTGGTTTCAGGGTTCAGCAGGTTTTTGTGCGGTCGGCAGTCTTCCTTTTCTGTTGCTGGGTTGTGTGACCACGTCAGTTTGTTTCTCTGTTTCTTGGTGGTGGAAACGTGAGGTGCTTCTGGCTTGGGACTACTGTGACTAAAGCTGACGTGAACATTCTGGAATGAGGCCCCGTGGGCGCACGTCTTCCTGCTCTGCGTGGCCCGGAGAGGTGTGCTTCCCTGTGTGCTCACCCCGAGCGGCTGCGGTTTGCGCGGCCGCCGGCCTGCCTGAGCCGCGTGCTGCTGTCTTTCTCGCTTGTTCTAGTCATGTGGTGGGAGGCGGGTGTTTCATTGTGGCTTTACTTGGCATTTCCCTGACAACAGGGGACGTCGAGCACGTTGCAGACACGCATTGGCCATCTGTCCATCTGAGTGTGAAGTGACCGTTTTAAGTCTCATTGCCTGTTTTACTGCGTCTTTTTGTTAGGAGGTTGCAGAAGTTCTTCATGTCATGAAGGAAAGTTCTGTGATACTCTTTTTTTCTTTCTATTTGTGGCTTGTGTCTTTCGATGAGTAGAAGTTTCACATTTCGAAGTCCATGTATCACTTCTTCCCTATCAAGATTAGTTCTTTTCCTCTAAGGAATCCTGGCCAGCTTCAGGCTTGTGAGACGTTCTCCCAGGCTTTCTTCTGAAAGCGTTAGAGTTCTGGCTTTCGCACGTAGGTCTGTGATGCGGGTGAAGGGAATTTTTGTGCGCAGAGTGAGGCCAGGCTGCCGTCGCCCGTCCGTGTGGACCTGCAGCCCCGGAACGTCGCTCGGGAAGTCTTCTCTTCCTCCTCCCTGTGGGCGCTGCGGTGCCTTTGTCAAAGGGATCTGGTGGCGCGTCTGGGTCTGTCTCTGGGCTCTTCTGTCCCGCGACCTGCTCGCCACCCTTTGTCCACACCGTGGTACTGACGGCCGTGGCTGTTACAGTAAAAGTCTTGAGATCATGAGTACGAGTCCTCGAGTGCTTTCACTTTTCTAAGACTTTAGCTCTTCTGTGTCTTTTGTATTTCCATATAAATTACATAATCAGTTTGTCGGTTCCTACAAAAAAATTCTCCTGGGATTTTGGTTGCAGTTCCATTAAGCCTGTAGGTTAAATTTTTTTTAATTGAAGTATATTTAGTTTACAATGTGCGTAGGTTGCTTCTTAAGGAAATGGAGCTTCTGACTCGTGACACATTGATCTCTCCGTTCATTTAGGTCTTCAGTTTCAGCGATGTTTTGTAGTTCTCACCATAGAGGTTTTGCACGTTTTGTTAGACTTATGATCCGATAATTTGAATATTTGTAGTGTATTTTGTTCTTATAAGTGATTTTATTTTTAAAAATTTCACTTCTGGTTCTTGCTAGTGTGCAGGAAAAAGCTGATGTTTTCCCCCTGACTTGATCTCCTGTGACATCCCTGGCTGCTCCTAGAGGGGTTCCGTCTGTCTGTTTTTGGCAGGGGATAGATTTCTGAGGATTTTCTGTGTGCGAGTCACCTGCAGATAGACAGCTTTGCTTCTCCCCTCCCAGCCTTCATGCCTCTCCCCTGTCGCTCTTCACTGAGCAGGCTGGGGCAGGATCTCAGTGCAGTGCGCGGCGGGGGAGGGGCGGGAGGGCGCTCAGCGCGTCCCACGCAGCGTGTCCACCGTGGTCTTCTGTCGTCAGGGCGGTGTTTCCGCGCAGTCTTAGCTTGCTGGGAGTTCTTTTCTTTCTCTCCAGTTGTATTTTTCAACTTCCCGATTTCTTTATGGTTCTTCTCTCTGGTTTCTTTCTCTTTGTTAACAGTCTCTGTGACGAGACATCATTTTCATGCTTCCCTTTAATTCTGTTACACAGCTCTCTGCAGTTCATTGAAGATGCTTATACTAGCTGCTCTGAAGTCTTTGCCCAGCAAGTCTAAAGCCCAGGGACAGTTCTTACTGCTTTTCTGCCCCCACCCCCACCCCCTGTTTCTTTGCTTGTCTTACTTTTGGTTAAAGCTGTAACAGGATGTGGCAGCCCTGAAAATCAGATTCTCCCCTCTTCCTGGGATTTGCCATTCTTGCTGTGTGCCTTTCTTGCTGTTTATTTGCTGGGTGACTTTTCAGAGCTAATTCTGTAAAGTCTGTATTCCCCATCACATGTGGCCACTGGAGTCTCTGTTTGCTTCGTCAGTGGTCAGCTGACGGCTGGACAGAGATGTCAACGCCCAGAGTGAAGAAGTGCCCCGGTCGTTCCTGGGGCTGTGTGTGCGCGGGGCCGCGCCTCCGGCGTTCAGCCAGGCAGCTCACAGCCCTGCCGGCATCTCCCTTCCTGCTGCCACAGGCCTTGAGGTCAGCGGGCTAAGAGCCCGCGGCTCCGCTGGCTTCCCCAGCGCGCTCACGGCCTTCTAGACTCCTGGGGGAGGCGTTGGAGCTTTTCTCACCCTCTGTGCACGTCTCTTTCCTGAGCCTTTCCGTTTAAGGTTTGGGTTACCCTAGTTTTCCCTGACTGTTGTCTTCTGCCTCGTGCAGTGGGGAAGTTAGTCCGTTGACTCTGACTGATTGGTTTTGACCAGCCTGTACCTCTTCCCCACCGCAGTCAGGCCGGTGAAGTCAGCTTTGCAGGTGGGTCTCTCAGAGCCACCGGGCCATTCTGTGCATGGCAGTTCCCGGAAGTGAGGCTTGTGGTGAACCCTTGCCGGGTTCTTTCCCCTCCAGTGTCTGCGGACTGTGCCGGGGGCTGTTGACCTGCTCGGCTGCCGCAGGGCTGGGGCGGGGCGGGCAACAGAGCAGGAGTTCTGGTGACACAGAGCTCCCCGCTCTCACCCAGGCTCCGTCACGTCTCTTGAATAAATACTCCCAGGTTTCTACAAGCCTTTGGCTGAAGAGTTGGGAAGAGCTCTTAGAAGGTCATTCGTGCCATTTTTGCAGGTTTTCTAGTTGCCTTTATGGAGGATAGGTTTTGAAAGTCCTAATAACGCTACCGTTTTCTTTGCTGTCACTGTCGCGTAGCATTTTTAACAGGAATAAATATTGTTAGTAAAAGCAATGCACATTTTGAGTGTATAGTTAATGCTGTTATTTATGTAATTTGTTGATAAATATTATCAACGTTGCATGGTAATTTTGGAGGACATCTCTTGCACCTTAAAAAAAATTAAATTGATTTAATTTAATCAATCTGTGACAATCTTCCTGCTTTACAAATACCCGTTCTTAATTTTGGGCAGGGGGTGGGTTGGGAGGTGTAAGTTTTATAAGCAGAAAAGCAAACATTAAGTGTATGTAGTTGGCCTCGTGCAAAGACAGTGTTATTTTAGTCCTTTAACATTATTTTTAGGGGACCCCCGGCGCTTACTTGCCTTCTCCTAACCAGGCGTCCTACGCCCCGGAGGCAGCCAAGCCCTCGGCAGGCTCCATCTCGCTGGGACTGCCGCGCCAGCAGGAGGCCGCCAAGCCAGGTCAGTGACCATACACCCGGATGTCTCACGTTCGTCGTGTCGCAGTCAGGGACCCACACTTGCTCACCTCACTTTCTCTCGCTTTGGTTCTTAGCTCCTGTGCCCTACATCAAACAGGAAGAATTTTCTCCCCGAAGCCAGAACTCACAGCCTGAGGGCTTACTGGTCAGAGCCCAGCACGAAGGAGTGGTCAGAGGTAAGACATGCTGCTCGGTAGAGGTAGTGAGCTTTTGTCCCCAGGAAGTGTAGTAAAGGAAGGCAGTGACGTGTTTCAGGGATGGGCCTTTAACTGAGAGCCTTTAATTCTAAGTTTAAGTTTTCTTTCTGTATAAAGATGATTTAAAATCTTTGAAATTTTGCATTTCTGCAGCCCTCTTTAATGATTGCAGAGTTATTGTGAAAGTACATTTTGATAAAACAGAAACCCTTCTTCTTGTGCTGCCGTTTCCTTCTCTTCTTACCTCTGCCAAGTTGGGGCTGATTTTGTTTGTTTTTTTCGGGTGTAGGGGTGTGATTCACTAACGGTTTTGTTTTCATTCAGGTACCACGGGAGCCATTCAGGAGGGCAGTATAACTCGGGGAACCCCAGCCAGCAAACTTCCTGTGGAGGGCATCCCGTCCCTCCGGGGCTCCATCACCCAGGTGAGCGGCTCATCCTTGGGGCTCTGGTCAGGGGCTCACCAGAGAGCGGGAAGCAAAGCCTCGAGAGCCTTGGCTGTCCCAGCAGCACAGCTTTGTGCCTGAGTTGTTCGCTGTTCTGGGTTATGGGGCTGGTCTCAGTGACCGTAATCCCCGGATCTATAAATAGTCTGCAGAAAGAAATTAAGGTGATAATTTTTGACCGTAAGGCGCATTATATTTATACTCTGGTTCACTTGAAAAGGTCACTTCTTTGCAAACTGGCAGAAGAAACAAGTTCTGGTTGGTGCAGCTCTCACTGTCTTCCTGGCACAGCTTTGACGATGTGTTCAGCTTAAATAGAAACTGAGAAGAAAATCATTGCAAATTACCTGCTTGCTTTTGCCCCTTCCGGGAAGGAAAGCCCGCCGTCTCAGCGTGTAAGCTGCCTTGCTAGGCTATCGTGCTGCCCTAGGAAGTATGGACGGCGTTGACGAAAGCACCAAAAATCAAGCATCTTCTTGTAATTTTAGGCGAAATACATTGCCACTTTTGATTAATAAAAGGTCTTTCTTTTCCTTGGTTAAACGTTACCTTTAGTTTGAAATGTAAAGCAGTCTTTAGCCTCTTCATTAACTGGAGCTGCACGGGGAGTTCTGTTTTGGGAAGTCACTGCAAACAGAGTCCTGTGCTTCCGTGCGCTGTGCCCAGGACAAGTGTTCTGTTCTGTTCCTGTTTCTGGTCTTGTGTTCCTGCTCCCTGGCACAGTGGGTGTTCAAGTTGGGTCCCCAGACCAGCAGCGTCAGTGTCATCTGGAAACGCCCAGGCCCACCCCAGGTGTCCTGGCGGGGCCCAGCCGCCTGTGTTCTGGCCTCGCAGTGATTCTGCTGTGTGCCCAGCGGAGAACCCGGCCCTCGGCATAGGCTGTGCTCCCGAGCGTCAGCGTGCCCTGGAAGCTCGTTAGCGCAGCACGGACACTGCACCCCCACCGCGACCTGCTGAGTCAGAACCTCCGTTAGAGCAACAAGAGTCCCCAGTGACTTCTTCCTGCGACGTGGTTTACTGCGAGGACGGCACGTAGTGATGTAGAAAGGCACACACCAACTCTTCAGATCTCCTTCCCCGTTTGACCGAAGTCGTCCGTCCCCCTGGAGTTGGTTTACAGAATAAGCAAATACTAGTATAACAACAGAAGACAGACAGATGGCTGATGCGTCTTCCTTTCCTTCTTCACTTTCACCCCAGCGCTGGGACTGTGGGTGGGAAGTCAGGATGGACCGGGTCAGAAGAGGCTGGGCTCTACTTGCTGATTTCCACACCAGCCTGCCCGAGTGGTGGCACACTTCTGAAGAGGGTGTAAGGGTTTCCAGGTGTTTACTACCAAGTTCACCCCTTGGCTACATGAGTAGGTGCCTCATCACAGCCCTGCTGGGGCGTGTGGGTTCAGAGTGACCTTGCAGGAGGTTTGGGGACCTGACTGTGTGCATGGGCTGGGGCTGGGCCCCTCACTCCCGTTCAGTCCAGGCAGCTCACTTTTCCAAGCGTTGTGCACAATTTCCACGAGTGATTTCCCCCAAAAGAAGGGCTACTGCTCACAGGAATGGCAGGGAGAACCGTGGCCTTAGGCAGACTCAGAGGCCGTGGCCTGAGCTGAGTCACGTCACAGCCCGGCATCTGAGTGCCCCCTTGTCACGATATGAGAGAAAGAGGAGGTACTTCAGTTTAAAGCCTAATTTATCATCTTATTTTTCTTAGAAATTTTGAAAAAGCTTTACTGTATTTGCATGATTTTAGGCCCTACGGCAGATTTTGTTTCTGAGAGTTCAATGCCTTCCCAGAGGTCTGACTTGAAGGAGGGGAGGCTGCTTCAGCTCACACCCCTCTTGGCATCTTAAGAAGCTTTGTGTGGCAGGGTCTGAGGACGAAGGCCTAGGAGCTCTTTTCATTTATACCGTGTGTCTGGTTCCCCTCACATGCTGGCCTTTCCTGCTTGAGGACGCGGCTTGATCTGGTGGGTTACATCTTCTGAGTGCCCTTGGTTTCCTGTAAATGTGAGTGACCCGTGTGCCTGTGTTTGACTTGATGACAGGGGACCCCGGCTCTGTCCCAGGCTGGCATCCCAACCGAGGCTTTGGTGAAGGGGCCCATTTCTAGACTGTCCATTGAAGAGGGCGGTCCTGAGAAGGGCCGAGAGGAAGCTGCATCCAAAGGCCACGTCATCTATGAGGGCAAGAGCGGACACATCTTGTCCTATGACAGTAAGTGCCACGCCGAAACGCGGGGCTGAACACGTGGGTCTGGGTCCCCGTGCCTGCCGTGGGAAGTGGGTTTTCCTTCCCTGGGTCCAGGTTGCCTCCCTGTGATGTGCAGAGGGATAATACTGGTACTTCCCACGGGACCTGTGGAAAGGGACCCACAGTGCAGAGCCCATAGTGGGAGTCCCCAGGCGGCCCTGCATCATCAGCCGTGGGCAGGCAGCTTAGCCCAGGGGAGAATCTTTGTTTAACATTAATCGAATCACTTTTATTTTACAGGGATACCTATTTTATGAGCTAAAAATTAGGGCACACCTAGTAGTCTGATAATCATGGAAAGAGTATTGAATATAAATTCTTCTTAAATCTATTTTCATGTCTCTTTGTAGGAAAACATTTTAGATGTGCTCTTAGGGTTAAGTTTTAAATTGGGTGCTGCTCTGAGCAGAGTGGTGAAGCCTCCCGCCTGGGGTGTGGCCCTTCCCTTTGTCCCGCGCACCTGCCCGATAGTCACTCAGCAGCCGTGGGGTATCAGGTGACGTCACGACGTTGCAGTGCTGTGTTCACGTGCCCCTTGCCCGCGCCCTTAGGCGTCTGGCCTCCCAGCCCTCTCAGGGGCCGCGGTCCTTCTCTCCTCATGGCGCCTGTGACTCTGCAGTGGCCCCTGCCAATGCACCTGTGCCCACCGCCACTGGGGAGGTTTCACCAGGGAAGGGACCTAGTTTGTTAACCGTTATCTGCAAGCCTGGCTTATGCCTGGGACTCGATACATAGATTTGAGTGAACAAAAACATTTTTGCAAATGTCATCTACACAGATGTCTATGGTAGGTTACAACCAGTATCTACATTGTTATCTTTGCACGATGGTGACATTGAGATAACTTGTTTGTGGAACAGCAGGCCTTGGGCTCCCTGAGCAGCTCCTGTGTCTACGTCCTGCAGATATTAAGAACGCCCGAGAAGGGGCAAGGAGCCCTAGGACAGCGCACGAAATCAGCCTGAAGAGAAGCTACGACTCCGTGGAAGGAGCTCTGAAGCCAGGGTTGTCCGTGAGGGAGTCTCCCGTGTCAGCACCGCTAGAGGGTAAATGCTGTGTCCGCAACACTGTGGAGAGGCGTTTAATTCTGTGTAGTGAGTTTACGTTGTTGGGTTAGGTTGTGTTCAGTCTCTTGTCGTTTCCACTGAAATTTACATTTATGTCAATATACAAATGAAACATATTATTAATACATGTAATATACAATATAACACTCAGTATGGAATCTGCGTTAATACACGCTCTGTTACATCTGTACGTAAGCCGAGCGGTGCACGCCGTGGGGGGACGCGGGGGTGGGACAGAGCTGGTCTCACCACGGGCGGCGGTTCGGTTGCTCGCAGAACCTGTATGTTATTCCTGTTTGTGAGTTTGAAAAATGTCACATTTATCATGAGAACTTTGTCTGTTATCGTGAGGCAGGTGGAGGGGTGTAGTGAGCAGAGCAGACGTGCGTCTGAGCCCCAGCTGCACCCTCTGCTGGCGAACTGCTCTGCGCCCGTCTCCCCATTGGCCAAGGGGCTGGGTGTTTTAATTGTGTGTGAGGACGGGGCGCGCGTTCCTAACTTGGTTGTTTTGTTGGTGTCACGTTCCTTAAATCTTAACCTGTCTCAACTGTTTAACTTTAATCTAGATGAAATTCTAAAAACAGTGTGAGGTCTTAGAAGGCCTGCGTAATTTTCTAAGAGCTGGATTTTTGCTGTAGTGAAAAAAAATCACTTTCCTTAATTCAGGTTTGTTGGCAACATAACCTGGAACTTCTTAGGAGGTTCTTTGGCTCTTTGATTCCAACTTGCTGTTTCATTTACTGTATTTTGCCCATTTCTGAGGCGTCCGTCTTTGACGTTTCCCCGCCTCACAGATGCGTTTCAGAGCCGAGAGTGGTTTCCAG